ATATAAAATCTGTAATAAATTTTTCCAAGTAGCAACTTGCTGCACCTGTTGGAGGTTTAGTTATAGTACTTGGGAGGCGGCAGAATCTCTGTGAGTTTAAAGTCAGCTTGGTCTGCATAGTGAGTTCCAGGCTAGCAAGGGCTACATAGTACATAGAGAGACCCTCCTTTAAAAAAAAAAGAGCTGGGGGCTAGAGAGATGGCTCAGCAGTTAAGAGCACTGACTGCTCTTGCAGAGGACCTGTGTTAAATAATAAATAAAATATTTTAAATAAAAAAAATCTGTTTTACTTAAAAAGTAGTAACTTGCCTCACTGTGCTTCCCCGCCCCCCAATACTGTGAAGTGCTGTCTATAGTATCATCTCAGATGTCCTTCCAAAACAGAAATCTGTATATGTTCTATGTTGTTTGTTTGTTGAGAGAGGGTCGCCCTGTAGCTCCTGACCTGGAACTCCTTGATCTCCTAGCGACCTGCTTCCTCTGCCTCCCCAGTGCTGAGATTAAAGATGTGCCCCACCACTTCTGACCCTTTTTTAAAAAATTTATGTGTGTTTTGTATGTCTGTGTTTTTATGCCACACGTGTGCAGGGTGCAGGAGTCCGGAGGGCATCTCCTGGAGCTGGAGTTACAGGTTGGATGTGAGCTGTGTGTGCTGAGAATCAAACTAGTCCTCTGCAAGAACAGTATGCATTCTGAACCCGAGCCATCTCTCCAGCCCCTAGGATTTTATCTTTTAAGAACAGTTTTATGTTCACAGAAAAATTGAAAGGCATGGAGTTGTTTTTTTTATGTCTCCTGTGTCTTCTACCCCAGCCATCCATGGCTTGCTACCTCCATTATTTACAAATTTTAAATTAAATAATGATTTACGTTCTAGCTAACACATTTGCTGAGCCTTCTGTGCTGCCTGAAACAAATACCATTTGCAATTTCAATATACTTTCAAATAGATTCTAGATGTCCTTCAGTGTGAAAACTCATTTTTATCTTGATTGATCTGGAAATATTTTGAAAACAATTTTTGCATTCTTAGCCTTTTCCATAAATTTTAAATGTGATTATTTGGTTTATATAGAAAATTGTGAATTTTTTTGAAATGTGGTTTTAAATTGTAAATTTTGATTTTTCTTTTTTTTCAAGACAGGGTCTTTCTGTCATCCCAGCAGGTCTAAAAATCATTATGTAGACCAGGCTGACCTTGGTCTTACAAAGACCCATCTGCCTTTACCTCTTCAGTACTGGGATTAAAGGCATGTGCTACCATACCCAGCCATGAATTTTCATTTTATAATTACACTTTTACTTTTTTGAATATGTGTTTAGATGTAGTCCTGGCTGGCCTGGAACTCCCATTTGTAGACTAGGCTGTCCTGAAACTTCTAGCAATCCTCCTGCCTCTGTCTTCCAATACTAGGATTATAGGAATGCAACACTATGCCCAGTTTTGATGATAATTAAATGGGTGCAGTTTAGAGATCCAAGAGTATGTTTATTTTTTTGTGAGACTTAGTATTTTATTTCCATTGTTTTTTTTGTCTTTCATATTTTCTTGCCCAGTTTTGTCTGTTTGAAGAAAGCAAAATGTCCAAGTTAGTTTTTGTTGAAAATATTTTTTGTTCTCTTTTATCATTACTAGCTACTAAAAATGATATCTTTACAAACTTTGTTTAGGTCTGCATGAATTTGATTCCTTGAAGGATCCTGAAGTGAATGAATTTCGAAGAAAAATGCGTAAATTCAGTGAGGAAAAGATTCAGTCTCTTGTGGGATTATCGTGGATTGATTGGTTAAAGCATACATACCCACCAGAGCACAAGCCATCCATCCTGGAAAACCTGGAAGATAAACTTTACGGAGGAAAGCTAATCGTGGCTGTTCATTTTGAAAATAGCCAGGTAGTGTTGTAATATTCTGTAAGGAATCTCTGATTTTACCTGACTGCTCTTCCATTCTTGGAAGTGTTTCTTGCTCAGTAAACATTATTACAAAGAAAAACTTTAGAGACAAGATAGTCTTCTGTTTAGAATTACATAGAGCTAAAACAATATCCTTTGTGCATATACGATTTCTTGATACATTAAATAATATAGAACTGAGTTGTCAAACTGTACTGTTGAACTACCTTTTATAGTTTTAAAGGGATGGAAAAAAACCCATCAATTTTAAATGGGCTGGTGAGACGGCTTAGTAGATGAAATTGCTTGCTGCCAAGCTTGACCACCTGAGTTCAGTCTCCCCACATGGTAGGAGATAATTGACTTACACAAATTGTCCTTTGACATCCTCACAAATGCCTGGCACATGTGTGCCCACATATACACACAATTAATCAACCAGTGTAAGTTCTTTAAAAAAAGAAATCTTCTAAAAAGCTAAATAAAACACATACTTTAAAATATTAATAGACAGGGATGGAGAGATGGCTCATTGGTTAAGGGACAGCCAGTTTAACCAAAGAGCTTCATGTTCAGTGAGTGACTGATTCAAAATGTAAGGTGGAGGGTTTGTAGTTTGGACAGATGGTTCAGTGGTTAAGAGCACTGGGTGCTCTTTCAGAGGACCTGCGTTCGGTTCCCACATGAAGGATACTTTTGAGACAAGATCAAAAGTTTGTGTTGCTTTTTGGAAGATCTACCAGGACTCTAAAGTAAGAGAGAGTCACTGGGGGTGGAAAGAAACAAAACATTTGAATATGATGTTATTGACATTTTATTGGGAAGTAGGTAGAGAAGGAAAAGGTTGTGATGTCAACTTCTCAAAGTGATTCCATGGAGGCTGGTTGTGTGCTTTAATACCTATGGCATGGTTTCAATCCGTTTAGACTTCTGTAATAGAATACCATGGGTTGAGTGACTTGCAAACAATAGAAATTTATTGCTCACAGTTCTAGATGCTGTAAAGTCCAAGATCAAGTCACTAGCTGATTCAGAATCAAAGGGCCTGCTTCCTGTTCCATAAACTTGACTGCCTTTTCACTGAGTCATTACACAGAAGACAAGAGTGTGCTTTATCTGGTGTCTCCTTATCTTGTATAATAAGGGTACTGATCTCATATAATAATCTAATTACATCAGAATATCCTGGTCTCTACAACCCCTCACACTGAGGATGAGATTCTATATATGAATTTTGGTGTGATATAAGTGTTCAGTCTGTAGCAGATTCAACTCATAGAAAGTACAGGGGTAGGGGAGAAGCAAAAATTGTAGAGAAAATAGATATTAAATCTATTAATTTATGTTTAATAAGTCTGAGTTTGAGGTAACCTTGAGGAAAAGGAATTTAAAGTAATTTAGCAGCAAATGTAAATTTGAAGTTAGGTCAATATAGAGAATTTTCTAATAGTTACAGCTGTCTAAAGTAGCTCTTGGCTGCCTTTAGATATTGTGAGCCTCCTTTATCTGGTATGTCAACATTTTGTGGTAAATCACTTTGTTAGATTATGAAAGAATTCACAGATGATTAAACTAGTATTTCTTTGTATCATTGGGTTTATGATAAACTAGACATGGTAATGCTTCTTTTTCAATTTTCATTTGTGCAAAAAAAATGGGCGGGGGGGTTCTTTTGGAGACAAGGTTTCCCTGTAGCCCCAGCTGACCTGGAACTTGCTTTGTAGACCAGGCTGGCCTTGAACTCACAGAGATCCGCCCACATGCTGGAACTAAAGGCTTGAGCTACCACGTCCAGCTCATTTGTTAAAATTTGTATGCATAGCTCAATAATGGAGCACTTGCCTAGCCATGTACTTTACAATTTTGTAAAATTTGAACAAAATCATTAGTTTATGGCTTAATCAGCATAAGGTCTGATCTTTTCTTGCTAATGACCAACATAAACTTTTTCCTTAATACAGATTTAATTTTTTTTTCCCTTGCTGAAGTTCAAATTCAGGGCCTCGTGTATGCTAGGCCAATGGTGGTCTACAGCTGAGCCTTAACCTTAGGTTTTGTAACACTTTAATTAATCTATTTATTTTAATGTGTATGAGTGTTTTGCCTACATGTGTTTAAGCACACCTGTGTTATACAGTGCCTGAGGAGGCCAGAAGAGGATGTTGTATCCCCTGGAATAGGAGTTACAGACAGTTGTTAGCCACCATGTGGGTACTGGGAACTAAACCCAAGTCCTCTGCAAGAACAGCCAGTGCTCTTAACTCCTGAGCCATCTCTCTAGCTCTCCTTAAAGAACACTATCCATGTGGCCTCTTACCTAATAGTAAACTTTGATTTTTTTGTTTCATAGTGGGTTTATTATTTGTTTATTTATTTATATTTTTGAGGCAGAATCTCAGGTAGTACTGGCTAGCCTTGCATTCCTGATCATCTGACCTGTCTCTCCCAAGTGCTGGGATTCTAGAAGTATGCCACCATGCCCACTGATTTCAGCTAAATATTAATTAATTTTGCCTTTTGTAGCTATGACAGTATACAGTAAGATTTGCAAATTATCAGAAAACAGTTTTTCAATTTAAAATTTATTTATTTATAGACAGGTTCACACTATAAAGCCCTAGCTGGCCTTTATGTAGACCAGGCTGGTGTGGAATTCGCAGAGATCCTCCAGCCTCTGCCTTACTAGTCCGGGACTGAAGGTGTGTACCACCATGCCAGGCAGGAAAACAGCAAATTTTATGCGTGTTCATATTTAGCATATAGAAAATTTTATTGGAATAAAAAGCATAAAGGATATACACATGGATATATTACCTATTGTACATTTTATTACAAACTGAGCATAATTATGGTTTCCAGCACAAGTGTAAAATGTAACACGTTTTCTACCTTCCGTTTGTTTAGGATGTGTTTAGCTTTCAAGTATCTCCTAATTTGAATCCCATCAAAATAAATGAATTGGCAATCCAAAAACGTTTGACTATTCGTGGAAAGGAAGATGAAGCCAGTCCCTATGACTTTGTGTTACAAGTCAGCGGGAGAGTAGAATATGTGTTTGGTGACCACCCACTAATTCAGTTCCAGGTATGTATATAGTCTTTCTTGTCAGCTTACCAGAAACATGTGTATTTAGGCATTTAACTTTTTTATTTTTGAGTTTTTAGAGAAGTGTACCCATAATGAAACATTTGCAACCCACAAAATATTATCCTGAATTAAATAATAAATATCCTACCCTACCTCTGAGATAATCATTGCTAACATTTTGGCATATGTTTTTGTCTTCTTTCTCTCTCTCTCTTTTTTTTTTAGTAGTTATGTGTGCTTTTGGTGCAGTGATTAGACATTTAAATTGTGTGTGTGTGTGTGTGTGTGTGTGTATGTGTGTTTGCATTCTGCTTCATGACTATCTCAGTGCTATATCATTATTATTTCCTGTGGCATTATGAATTCCTAACAGTTTGTTATATGTAGCTGCCTACTAATTCATCTTGTAAACATACAATTTCAAGTATGATATATTCTAGGGGAAGTATAAAAAACTTACTGTGTTAAAAACTTGTTTGTGGCTGGAGAGATGGCTCAGTGGTTGAGACTACTGGCTGTTTGCAGAGGACCAAAGTTCAGTTCTTAGCACCCACGTGGTGACTAACAAGTGTCCCTAACTCCAGTTCCAGGGGATCTGATGTCCTCTTCTGACCTCTATGGACATTGCACACATAGTGTACTTATGTACATGTGGGCAAAACATATAAAATAAAAATAAGTTAAAAAATATATTTTATTTATTTTTATTTTATGTGTGTGCGTGTATTGCCTGCATGTAAGTAAGTGCACCCGTGTTGTGCAATGCCCGTGGAGGACAGGAGAGGCCGTCGGATCCCCTGGAACTGGAGTTACAGACAGTTGTAAGCTGCCATGTGGGTGCTGGGATTCAAACCTGGGTCTTCTTTAAGAACAGTCAGTGTTCTTAACCACTGAGCCATCTCTCCAGCCCCCAAATAAATACATTCTTAAAAATTAAGAAAAAAACCTTATTTATATAGAAATTTGTTATCATCTAGTTAGAAAAGGTAAAGAATTTTTTTTGGGGGGGTGGCCAACAAGATGATTGAGTAGGTAATAAAGGCACTTGTCATGCAAGCCTGGCAACTAGAATTCAATCCCTAGAACCCACATAAAAGTGAAAGTAGGGAGTTGACTCCACAGGTATGTCCCCTGGCTTCCACATGTGAGTAATGACATGCATACTCTGCCATTCAGGCCCCTACACATACATCATACACACAGAAAATACTAAAAACTTTTTTTTAGTCTTTTGTTTCATTGTTTGTTGGTTGTATTGTTGCTCCTAGGGGTTGAACCAGGACCTTTTGTGTAGCAAGCGTGCGCTTTACGTACCGAGCTGCATTCCAATGCATCATAAATCAGAAAACTCTTCAGTTTCATTTTGTAATATTTGTTACTCCTTTGTTCCCTTTTTATTACTTATACATGTAGTAGGAATTTTGCAAGCCTTAAGTCCTGATAAGTCTTCCTTGATCTTTATATGTTTATTTACATTTAATTTTGAAGTCTGAGTATATACTCCGTGCAGTGGCCAGTGAGGTGGCTCAGTGGGTAAAGGCGTTTGCTGCAGGCCTGACAACTTGAATTTGAGCGCTGGGACCCACATGGTAGGAGTAACCTGACTCCTGAAAGTTGTCCTCTGACTTTCACATGTGTGCCATGGTACACCCTACCAACACCCACCCCAACAAACAAACAATCAAAAACCCAATGCAAGACATTAAACTGCCTTAAATTATTTTCTTACAAAGTTTAATTTACATGAGATATACCGTACATTATCCATTCCTCTCAAGATTTGTTTCTCTCTCTTTTTTTTTCTTTTCCTTTTTTTCTGGTCTTTTTGAGACAGAGTCTCCCTGTAGCTCCAGCTTACCTGGATCTTGCTATGTAGACCAGGCTGGCCTCGAACCCACAGAGATCCGTCTGTCTCTGTCTTCCAAGTGCTGGGATTAAAAGTGTGCAATACCATATCTGGCTAGATTTGCTTCTTAAAGAATGCATTTCTGGCTTTGTTTTCAAGTAACTGAAAGATCCTTATATTGAAAGTACATTTGGAAGGTAAAAAATGGTTGTTATATGAAGAATAATAGCGTAAATATAAAATTAGAGGTCAGTTGTAACAATTTAAAGCCTATGGGTTTAAAGAGTTTTGGTTTTGCAATATTGTTGAATTTTGGTTTTGGGGTTTTTTTTGTTGTTGTTGTTATTGTTGTGTTGTGTTTTGTTTTGTTTTTTGGAGACAGGATCTTGCTGTGTAGCCCTGGCTGGTCTGGAACTTGCTGTGTACATCTGGCTGACCTGGAACTCACAGAGATCTTCCTACCTCTGCCTCTGGAATGCTGGCTTTAAAGGTATGTGTCGCCATGTCTGGCCTAGAACTTGAAGCAGCCCCACCTTAGCCTCCCAAGAGTTACCACACCCAGCTGGTTTTGTTCTTTCAAAAGGGCTGAAGCATTACTAGGGAGATGGTTATGTAGTAAGAGCACTTAGTGCTCTTGCAGGAGAATCCAATTTGGCAGGAGAATCCAGTTTGGGATGTCAGCAACCAATTCAGGTAGTTCACAACCCAAGAGGATACCTTGCCTGCTTCTTGTTCCCAGGGGCCCTACAAATGTGCATGTGCTCGCTCTTTCTCTCTCTCAAATAAAGTATTTTTTACAAAAAAAAATAAGGTGTGCCAAATATTATGATGTCTGTCTGAAAAGAATTAAAGTCAAGCATGCCAGTGCACACATGAACTCCTAGCAAGAGGATTAGTAGTACAAGGCTAGCCTAGGCCACATGATACCCTGTCTCAGAAATAAAAAAATATTGAGATTGATAAAGATATAGGAAATAATAAAATTTCATACCTTCTGTTAAGGTTTTAGTGTCACCCATGGTTTTTGTACTGTAGCAGGTAGAAGTCTAGGAACAGTTACAGCTTGTACGTACAGCTTTGAAGGCTGAGGCATTCTGATATTAAGCAGTTGAATCTAGCCCATCAAGAAGGGAAAGATAATAGTTCTTACCAAGCAACCTTGAAGTATGGAGTTTTCTGTTTTGTATTCTACCAACCATCTTGCAAACCACCTCCCATCAAAATTATTTTTAATGGTTCTGAACTCAGCATATAATATATTGAGTCATACTTTGGATCTGTATAAGAAATTTATTCTGGGGGCTGGAGAGATGGCTCAGCAGTTAAGAGCACTGGCTGCTCTTGCAGAGGACCCAGGTTTGGTTCCCAGCACCCACATGGTTGCTAACAAGTCTCTTTAACTCTAGTTCCAGGAGAATCTGATGCCTCTTCTGACCTCGTCAGGCATTGCATGACATGGGTGCACTTACATACATACAGTTAACACACTCATACACATAAAATAAAAATAATATAAATAAAAATTAAAAGATAATAAATAATTAAAGAAGGTTATTCTGAGCTGGGTGTGCTGGAGCACACCTTTAATCCCAGCACTTGGGAAGCAGAGGCAGATGGATGGTTTACATAGCAAGTTCCAGGCCATCTAGGGCTACATAGTGAAACCCTGTCTCAAAAAACAAAAAGAATACTGTTCTTGCCGAAGACCCAGGTTCGTATCCCAGCACCCACATGGCAGCTAACAACTGTCCGTAACTCCAGTTCCAGGGGATCCGACTGTCCTCCGTGGGCATTGCATGATATGGATGCTCTTACCCACATGCAGGCAATACACACATACACATAAAATAAAAATAAGTAAAATAATAAAAAACAAAAAGAAAAAGATAATTCTTTTGAGGAACATATGGAATTTATGTTCATTGTTTAAAATATTTGTTAATATGAATAATCATTGCCCATTTTTTAATATTCCTTTGAGGAGCCTCCTGGTTTTATGGAAACATTAGGCTGAAATGGCCAGTAGGTTTTCCCTGAGTAAACAGCTGGTAACACTCATACACAGTTCTATGCTGAAAAGGGGGCCACTTCAGAGATCCTTTATAAAAGGGGTGTCTGCCACATAGGAACCTTGTACTCATCACTCCTCGATGATCAGCTAAAGTATGACTTTGGCACCAAACAAGAAGATCTATGTCAGATAGTAGCTGTGTAAGTTAACATTTCATGATTTTTGTATCCATAAATGGCTAAATAGGACTCGGTCTCTTAATGTTATGAAGAATAACTGTAATATTTAAGATGTGTCTATTTCAGTTCTTAGGTAGTTTGCAACTGACAGCAGCTATTTTTTGTGGGGTTTGTTGCTTAGTGCCGGGACAGAACCTGGTGCTTTGTACCTGGTAGGCAAGTGCTGTACCCCTGAACTGAATCCTCAGCCCTTGAATTTTTTGAGGCAGGGTCTCTATGTAGTTCAGGCCAACCTAAATCACTATTAGCTCAGGCTAGTCTCAAACTTGTGATTCCCTTGCCTCAGCTTCCCAGCATTGCTAGGATTATAGGTGTGCATCACCCTGGCAAATGCTGTGCTGTGGTTTTATTGCATTTTAAAATTTCATTCATTCATTCGTTCATTCATTCATTCATTCATTCTGTGTGTCAGTGTGTGCTGGAGTCCAGGGACAACTTGGGGAGTTCCTTTTTCTCCTTCCATCTTATAGGTCAGAAATCAAATTCAAGGTTTCAGGCTTGGTGACAAAGTGCCCTGCTAAGCCATCTCCACTGGTTTTCTTGGGGGGAAGGGGTCAGGGTCTTCCTGTAGCCCCAAGTTAGCCTAGAACTTGCTATGTAGACAAGGCTGGCCTTGAACTCACAGAGATCCGTCACTATTAGCTCAGGCTAGTCTCAAACTTGTGATTCCCTTGCCTCAGCTTCCCAGCATTGCTAGGATTATAGGTGTGCATCACCCTGGCAAATGCTGTGCTGTGGTTTTATTGCATTTTAAAATTTCATTCATTCATTCGTTCATTCATTCATTCATTCATTCTGTGTGTCAGTGTGTGCTGGAGTCCAGGGACAACTTGGGGAGTTCCTTTTTCTCCTTCCATCTTATAGGTCAGAAATCAAATTCAAGGTTTCAGGCTTGGTGACAAAGTGCCCTGCTAAGCCATCTCCACTGGTTTTCTTGGGGGGAAGGGGTCAGGGTCTTCCTGTAGCCCCAAGTTAGCCTAGAACTTGCTATGTAGACAAGGCTGGCCTTGAACTCACAGAGATCCGCCTGCTCCTGAGAGCCTCGTGAGTGTGAATTAAAAGCCTGTGTCACCAGGCCTTTCCTGTGTTGTGATTTTAAGTGACCATATACTTGATACTAAGTTTACATACACCTCTGCAGTCCATTTGGGAATAGTCCTTGTTCAGATTAATTGTATTGCTGATTTAAGTGTTTGCCTAAATGCCTGTACCTTCATCTTTCTACTACTGCAGTATATCCGGAACTGTGTAATGAATAGGACCCTGCCCCATTTTATCCTCGTGGAATGCAGCAAAATCAAGAAAATGTATGAGCAAGAAATGATTGCCATAGAATCTGCCATAAATCGAAATCCATCCAACCTTCCTCTTCCTTTACCACCAAAGAAAACACGAATTATTTCTGTAAGTTTTCTGTATGAATTTTTGGTAACCCCAAGGGGCTGTGATTCTGTTAATATGCTGCCTCACACTTATTTCCTGTGCTCACTTCTCCTGTGAAATCAATACATCTTTGTCAAAAGCCACCACCATTTACTTAAAAAGTAGAATTCTTCCTTGTTCAAGCTATAAATAAATGTAAGTATACAATTTATATTTTTTGGTGCTCCTCTCCCCCAAATATAGATTGTACTTACAATTTAGCAGTTTGAGACAAAGGACACAAATACTTGAATAACTACTATATTCCTTTTTTTTCCTTTTTCAGACAGGGTCTTACTGTGTAGCTTTGGCTGTAAAGCCCAGGCTAGCCCCCAAATTGTGGCAAGCATGCCTCCTCCTAAGTGAAAAGTATTTTATTTCTGTCAAACTGAACTGTTAGATTTGGTGTGTGTAGGTGTAGGTGGTTTGCAGGGGCTGAGACGGTGCTCCCCTCGACCCAGGCTCTAACTCACTACATAGTTGAGGCTTCTAGCCGTCCTCCTGCCTCAGCTTCCTGTTTGCTTGGATCACAGGCATAAGCCGCATTCCTTTTCCCTGTGTCCCTGCCTCACTTTGTCCCCCTTCATCTCTTAGCAGTAATGGACATAAAAATCAAGTGTTAGTGATTGGACTTAGTTCAATTTAATATTTATGATTTTCAGTTGTTAGTTCAGAGCTCTGTTTTCATAATTTTACAAGATTTGAGAACTGATGCTTTTTCATGGCTAGTATATGATATTCATTTCTTTCATTAAAATACTTATGTATTTATTTCATTCTTTTACAGCATGTTTGGGACAATAACAATCCTTTCCAAATTGTCTTGGTTAAGGGAAATAAACTTAACACAGAAGAAACTGTAAAAGTGAGTACTTGTTAAGAGTTGTATTTGCATTATGCTATTACATGAATAATTCATAAGCTCTGTGATACCACATTGGAGATTAAATTTTACCCATGCCCATCAATTACATAAGATAGAGTATGGCAGCTAGTTATAAAACTATATTATGTATTTTGTTTGTTTTGGTCTTCTGAGACAGGATCTCATATAATCGAGGGTAGCCTCAGAACGGCTATATAGCTGAGTATAGCCTTGAGCACCTGATCCTCCTGCCCATCCTCCCCAAGTGCTGAGTTATGGTCATGAACCACTCTGCCTGACAGTATTTTTATTTTAAGTTTTTTTTTGTTTAAAATATTTATTATTTTTATTTTATGTGAGTGTATTGCCTACATGTATGAGTGCACCCGTGTTGTGCAATAAAGTTTTTATTTATTTTATTTTTACTTTTTTATTTAAGGTATTTGTAGTTAGACTGTAGAAAGACTGACATTTTCTTATTGTGTATCATATCATAAATTTATTTTTTAGATCAGAAATTTGGCATGTGAAATTTAAACCAGAATTATAGCTCACATTTTTATATAAACTTAATCTCCTGTCAGCCTTGACAAGAGCTGCATTCAGCCTGTGTTACCCGCCCCCCACCCCTTCCCCAACCCCCTTTAAACTTGCTGAGAACAGAGAAAATATATCTTGGAAGAAAGAAAATAGATGACTTCACGTTGTTAACATGTGGATGACTTATTGTGCAACTCCATGCAATTAAATCCATACATTTCCCTCACAGTGCAGAGCATGAGTTTTCTCTGTCTTACTACGCAGGAAATGAAGAGAATAGTTTTTGGGTCTGAGAAAGGGGTTGGGCTAGTTTGAAGTATTTGTTGAGTGGGATATATTTATTCACGACCAGCTTGCCAAAAATTGTCACTTGTTTTCTGCATATGGACATTAAAGATTCTTTGGGAGATTGGCAATATGGTTATGGGGGCAAGGGGTGGGAGAATACAGAGATGTGAGTCAAAGAGCACAAAGATAGAGTTACCTTGGGGGAATAAGCCCCCAAATCATGAGTACTAGAGTTATTAATATATAACTGCTCTGTGCTGTGTGCTGGAAATTTGTTGAGAGTAGATTACAAAAACAAAACAAACAAACTCCAAAACCAACAAAACTTATGCGTGTTCATGGCTCTATTAATTTATGTGCTTGTAGGAAGCACTTCAGTGTATTTGTGTTATATATTAAGTGCTATATACCTTAAATATGTACAGTTCAAAAATATTCTTTGAGCAGCTGGTATTAAATAAGGGCTTTAGTTTTAGTATCAGCATGATTTTTTTTTTTAAGCTCTGTATTTATGGCCAATACATAGTTTGCCTTTTTTCTGTTTTAGTGATCATTTTATTTTTCTCTTTTAATTTAAAATTTCTTTATAATGTTTTCTTTTGTTTCTGTTGTGGGACTTATTTGCTTGTTTGAGACAGAGTCTCATATAGCCCAGGCTGGCCTCAAACTTGCCATGTAGCTGAGGCTGACCCTGTATTCCTGATCCTCCTGCCTCTACCTCCAAAGTGCTGGGGTTACACAGTGTGCCACCACATTCTACCTTTCTTATTTTCCAATTGAAAAATTGTGTCATGAAACTGGAGAGACAGCTCAGTGGTTAAGATTGCTTACTGCTAGGACTCAGGTTTGGTTCCCATCCCTTACATGTTGGCTCACAATTGTCTGTAACTCCAGTTCCAGGGTATCTCATGCCCTCTTTTGGCCTCCATGGACTTGTGCACACATGTGACTTACACATGGACACACATACACATAAAAGTAGATAAATTAATTAAATATAATGCTTTTTACAAGTTTATAAGTACAAACACGATTAAGAAAAAAGATGCTAATCTTTCCATCATAATGGAATCTCAACAAGCCATATCAGTATCCTCCATTTTTATATGAATATACATAAATACATGGTATTGGCGTTAAAGAGTTTTCAGTTGTATTTTTTCTTTTATCTCTTGAGTGATTTGTTAAAGAAAAGGAAATAATACATTCTGTAGTTGGTTTTACTCACTTTCAAATACATCTTAGATAGTCCTGTGAATTGGCAAGCAATCAGTAGAGTTCTTTGGGGTAGGGATTTCATTCTTAAAAGCAGAAATCACATGCAGTGGTGAAGTGTCATGCTATGAAAGCCTGTAATCCCAGCACTTAAGAGGTAGAGGCAGGAAGATCAAGAGTTTAAACCAGTCTAGGAAAGGGGCATGGGAGAGATCTTACATGTTCAAATCTACCTTCATTTGGAACATAATGTGTATTTTGTATACATATAAATGCTTTTCTCCAGTGGTTTCTAGGTATAGATGTATAATATACATAGTAACAAATGGGATTTCCTCCTTGTTCTTTTGATTTGCAGGTAATCATGCTTAACTTTTTAAAAATATTAAAGTATTTAATTTAGCATTGCTTTCTTTAAGAAACAACATTTTTTGCATTGAAAAACTGTATAGGTTGGTGAATTCGGAAAGGAAATGAATAACAAACTCACATTATAAGAACAGTGACAAATTTTACATTTTTGTTGAAGCTTGGTAGTACAGTTCTGCAGATGCCTGAGTTCTGAAGATAGTTATTTTGTTGTGATTTTGATTGCTTTTTTAACTGTGCTAGGAACTGAACCCAAAGCCTTGCACTTACTAATCAATGCACTTCGTCGCTGAGTTATATCTCCAGGCCCAAAGATAATTGATTGGTTCTTTACATCTTTAAAAAAATTATTACAGGGGCTGGAGAGATGGCTCAGCAGTTAAGAGCACTGACTGCTCTTGCAGAGGACCCGGGTTCGGTTCCCAGCATCCACATGGCGGCTATGAACCGTCCTTAACTCCAGTTCCAGGGGAATCCGAAGCCCTCTTCTGACCTCAGCGGCATTGCACAACATGGGTGCACTCACTTACATATAGGCAATATACTCATACACATAAAATAAAATTTAAAGAAAATTATTACATCTTATTTATTTTGTGTACCTGAATGTGTTCATGCCAAGCCTGACAACGTGAATTCAATAGAATATGCTTGGGGGAAGGACAGAGCCAACTCTAAATGAACATAATTTTTGAAGGTGCAGAGGCAGGGTCTTACCATGTAGCTGTAGCTGGCTCCAAACTTGGAGATCCACCCATCTCTGCCTCCCAAGTCTTGAATTTAAAGGTGTGGACCACTTTTTTTTTTCAACTAAAATATTGACAATACATTGCATACATTTATGAAATTTAGAAAATTAAAAGTTTAATTTCCTCAGTTGCTATGTAAGTAGTTAAATTTTCTATTTCTTTTGTGCCCGTTTTAATAATTTTGTCTTTCAGAGAGAATTTTTTTTAAAAATTTTTGTTGCATACAGTTCATAATAGCCCCTTATATTGACCCACTGTGGCATAACAAATAACTACAGATAATAGCAACTTTTTAATATATTTTATTTATTATTTTTATTTTATGTGTATGAGCGTATTGCCTGCATGTATGCATTTGCACCTGTGTCATGCAGTGCCTGTAGAGGTCAGAAGGTGTCAGACCCCCTGGAACTGGAGTTATAGATGGTTGTTAGCTGCCATGTGGATGCTAGAAATCCAACCTGAGTGCTCTGTCAGTGCTCTTAACTGCTGAGCCATCTCTCCAGCCCCAGATATAGCAACTTTTAAAAACATCACTTTAATAGGTTTACCAGGCATAGCATATCTGTCTAGGTTCTCCCTGTACTTACAGTCCTCCAGTGAGATGTCTAAGTGTTGGGTGGCCATCCTGGTTTTGGATTCATTTGGGCTGCATTGCTTTTTGAAGGCTCTCTGGGAGAATCTGTATGCAAGTTGTTGGTCAAATTCTGGATTTCATGGCTTTAAGAGTGAGGACCTCATCATTTTCTTGTTGGCTGTTGGCCAGAGGTTCTCTGTTACTAGAAATTGTTCTTAGACCCTTGCCTTTGAGCTTTTCTTTTAAAATTCATAAACAGAATTTCTCAAGCATCAAACACTTAAGCACTGAATTTCTTGCTAGGAAATTCCCAGTGATCTAGAGTCTTCTTTTCTCCCCTAAGATTTATCTTTAGTTTTATTTATGTGTATCTGTGTGTGCCTGCTTGTCCTTGAACCAGGTGCATGCAGATCCTCATGAAGGCCAGAAGAAGGCATTTGATCTCCTGGAGCTGGAGTTACTGGTGGTTGTGAGCCATAGGTGCTAGGAACTGATGTGGGTTCCCTGGAAGAACAGCAAGCACTCTTAACTACTGAGCCATCTCTCCAGAGCTGGGCTATCCTCAGCTGCATGGCAAGTTTGAGGCCAACCTGGGCTATATGAGACTCTCTCTCAAACAAACAAACAAATAAACAAGCAAACAACCCCACAACAGAAACAAAAGAAAACATATTAAAGAAATTTAATCCCAGCATTTGGAAGGAGGAGGCAGACAGATCTCTGTAAGATGGAGGCCAGCCTGGTCTACATAGCAAATTGCAGGCTAGGTAGGGTTACAGGGAGACCCTGTCTCAAAAAGACACCTTTCTCCCACAAAAAAAATCACAAACTAGGCCAGGCTCAAGGAAGATGATCTTGCATGTAGCATACCTGAGCACTGAAGGGCAGTTCATCATATTTATAGGGCCAGATGTCATACAGTACACAGGCTTTATGAGATCCGCCTAGAAAGCTCTCAAGGTGCTCCATGATGATTCAGAACTCTCTACACTGGAATGCCTTCCAGCCATGCAAAGTGCTTAGAATTCTATAGCATTCAGCTTCTTGGTCAGTCTTTCCTCAGTTCTGTGGTATTTTATCTTCATTTATCAGTCGTTTTGTTTTATTTTGTGTCATGGTTTGTTTTGGTTGGTTTTGGTTGGTTTGGCTTGGTTGTCTCCTGTAGTCCAGTCTGGCCTCAAACTTGATAAAGAGTTAAGGATGACCTTGAACTCTTGATACACATGCCTTCACCTCCCAAGTGCTGGGATTATAGCCATGTG